AATTCGGCAAATGAACACGTGCTGCTTTGCCAACTCACCATGAGTGCCGCCAAGGGAAAACCTGTCATCGAGCTTTCAATTATATTAAATTGTGTACAGTTAGCCGTCTATGGAAAATCATATTGATAGACAGCTAACTGTACACAAAATATAATTGAAAGCCCGATGACAGGTTTTCCCTTGGCGGCACTCATATTCGACAATTTGCCCGGTATTGGCGTTATCCGGCAATTTATGATTATGATCCCCAGTAGTCAGTTGAGTTTTAAAGTGCCTAGGTATTTGGATTTACGAATTTTTTTTGTATAAATAATGAAATTACACAAGAAAACTATGATATTTTAAAAAAAAAAGTCTTTACACTAGCCTAAACATAAATTTGGACATTTCGAGAATTCAATGTCGGCAGTTGAGTTCCATCTCTTGATGTTCACGAAAATGAAAATGAATTCATTGTAATGCTGTATGTATAAATATGACAAGATTTTATTATAATTCACATTTTTGCAAATTTAAAATTTTTAAATTATTAATTATATAATTTGATTTAAATAGGGAATCACTAAAGAACAAATCAACGTTGATCTTCGTGAAAATACCAAAAAAGATGAAAAATAAAGAAAGAAAATACACATTCAAGGGACGTTGACATAGAAGTTTCGTTCGTGCTATCACACTTCCTCGTAGTGTTAAAACTGCTGATATCACGGCTAAGTTTGAAAACGGCATTTTTGAAGTAAAACCAAGAAGGCAAATAGTCATAAGCTTATATGGGAGCTTGTCAGTAAAAAAGGTATAAAAAGTTTTTAGTAACTTTTTTTTAAAATTTAAAAAAATTTAAATCAAAATATTTCAATAACTATTAAATCAAATTTAATAAAATTTTTTTTATTTTAATTTTATATTTATATATATAGATTAAAATAAAAAAAATTTATTAAATTTAAGATTAGTAATTGCTAAGATATTTTAATTTAAAAGTTAGAAAATTTTTACATAGAAACTTTTTAAACCTTTTCTATTGACAAGCTCCCATATTTATATTTATATATACAATTTAAAGTATATATATACTACTGTATATATATATATATATGCAAAATATAAATGAAATAATCTATCTCATAGTAACGAATGTGCAATAACGCTACACTATGCGAAAAGAATCAGGGGAGGTTTTCTCATATATTACATTATTATAAAATATATTTGTAAATGGAATAATTATACTAAAAATCCAACCAAAATTCCGAATCAACTTAATTTCTATTCCCACTTACGACATATGTGTATATATGATTGCTATGCCAAATTTAGTTGGTTTATTGAAAAAAAAAAACATCTTTTTTTTAATTATTAAATAAAGACAAGAACAACTTACTATATAGACTATATACAAGAAGTTTCAAACACAGAATGCTTAAGTAGTTATACTGTAGTAAAAATAGTGGTTAAAAAATTTAAGCAGAGTCAATATTATTACAACCGACTCTATAAAGAACCTCTTTATAAAGAACTATAAGTTCTAAATTTATAATTTTATATATTAGTTCGTAATGGAAGGGTGGGTTCTTAAAAAACATTAATTTTTTTGTGAATTTTTTAGTTATAAGAAAGTCACGTATATAATATAGTTTAAAATGCAATTTGATTGGTTTATTATCACATGCTCGTCTTTATGCCCAATCATGAAGAGTTATTTAATTTCATGTGATCAGCTATCCTAAATGTAAGATCATCTGTTGATTTTAAATTCAAGACTCTGGTCAGGATGAAAGGTGTCCATCTTAAATTTTCGGGTTTTCCAACTCTATATTATGGCCATTGTTTCACTATCATCCCGGCGAAATTACTTTTTCCCAACAAGATTGGGAAGCATATGAAATTGTTAATGGTCTTTTTGCAGATGCCATTAATGATATTGTTCGGGATGGTGACTTGGTGTGGGTTCAAGATTATCATTTGATGTTACTACCAGCTATGTTGAGAGAAAAAATGGAGGAAAACAAGTTAAATGTAAAAGTCGGATTTTTTTTACATACTCCATTTCCAACCAGCGAGATTTATCGGTAAGATGTAATTTTTTTCTTTTTATCCAATTATAATAAAAATAAACCATCAAAGTCTAAGAATTTGTTTATTTAAAATAGAATTCTTCCTGCTCGAAAAGAAGTTCTCAATGGCGTACTTAATGCTGATTTAATTGGGTTTCATACGTACGATTATGCTCGTCAT